GAGGACAAGACGAAGTATCTCCAGTCACCGCGTTCGCGCCTTGGAACGCACGTCACTGTTGACAGTTATAATTTCGTGAAAGTGGAGAATTTCATTTACTAGGGAACCAGCACTATATCCGATAAAAATATCAGCATGGAAAACACACGCAGAATTACTCTTGCCAACAGGTGCTGCTTTGGACTGAGTAGGCAATTGTGGAGTAAAGTCCTTTCTCGACGTACAAAAATCGCACTCTATAAGTCACTCATCATGCCCGAGCTGTTATATGCCGCAGAAGCTTAGACAATGACAACATTTTATGAGGCGGCTCTTGGAGTATTCGAGAGAAAGATCTTACGGAAGATATACAGGCTTCTACGCATGGGCGACGATGTTACCGTAGACGATGGAACGATGAGTTGTATGAGCTTTACCACTAAATGTACATAGTGCAGCGAATGAATATAGAGCGGCTCCGCTGGCTTAGACATGTCGTTCAATAGGATCCGAAGTTTCAGGTGTAAAAGAATTCAACTCGCAAGTCGATGGTGGTAGCAGACGAATAGGAAGCACCCATGGGAATGGAGAGACCAAGTTGGCACAGAGAGAAATGACTGGCGTTCTTTGTGGAGCTCGGCCAAAATGGCTTAGGCGGTTACAAGGCCAAAGTAGAAGAAGAATATGCAAATGATAAATGACGGAGTTGGGGGACCATTTTCTGGGATGCGCCAGGAGGAACTAGCAAAATATTCCTTATCAGATGGATTCTGGCACCGGTTCGATTAAAAAATTACATTACCTTAGCTATCGCTTCGTCTGGAATTGCTGCGACATTATTACCAGGTGGAAACATTGCCAATTCAGCTCTTTAGCTGCCATTGAACATATAAATCATCGAAACTCCCACGTGTAATATATCCAGAGCATCCGGTATGAAAAAAGTTTACCAAAAAGTTAAATTCATTGTTTGGGATGAGTGCACCATGGCACATAAAAAATCGTTTGAGGCTTTCGATCAATTGTTGCGGGATTTGCGTGGAAACGTTCAACCATTCGAGATATTGCTCGCAGGAGAAAACATTGTTTGTAGTTTCTCGATTAAAACGAGAGATAAATGCTTGCCTGAAATAGTCAACATTGCGACAAGACGAACATACATACACTGCAGCTGAAGTATTCGCGCGACAATAACTGGACATTGGGAACGCAAAGCTGCCAGTCAATGAGATTAAGACGAATTTTATGGCCTGATAATTTTTGTAAATTAGAAACATCGAAAGGAGAACTGATCGAAAGAATGTTTCTTTATTAAGAAAATTAATTTTAGGAATCACGATTGGCTCAGTGAACGGGCTATTCTTGCTGCGAAGAATATGGAGGTCTATCAACTAAATAATAGCGATATTGACAACAGTCCATGCTTGAGCTGATCAGCTCTTTTACTAGACTGCCAGACCACTTGCTCACTGTGGTGAAAGCACTAATGTTTTTTAATCCAGCATTCAACGTGAGGAAATAGCATATACGTCGATAAACACCGTTGTGGAAAAAGACCATCCAACGAAATTTTTGAACTCGATTGATCTTCCAGGGAGACCTCACATACTGAACTTAAAAAAATGGTTTGACAGTTATCATGTTGCGGAATATTAATCAGCGAAAACTCTGCAATGGAATGCGACTCGCAGTTAAGAAATTGATGAAGAACGTAATGTAAGAAAAGATTTTAACGTGGCCTTTCAAAGGTGAAGAATTCCCATGATTCCATTTAATGATGATGATTCAATTTAAAAGATTTGAATTCCCAATTCGATTGACATTCGGAATCACAATCAATAATGCTCCAGGTCGAACTTTGGAAAAGTATGGTTTAGATTTAGATGCGGATTGCTTCTCAGATGTTGCGTGTTCCTGTGTCGGCAAACCAGATATCCTTGATATCTATGCAGAGAATGGAAAAATAACAAATATTGTGTGCACACGAGTACTTATTACATAACCAAACACATATGAAACGTATGCTGTGTTTCGTTAATAATTTATCGTCCATATAACAGAAATATGCCACAGCAAAGCGTGGCAGGGTACAGCTAGTATTTTTATAAAAAAACTAACCAAAATTAAATAACAACGAAAATACTACGTTAAAACTTGGCAAAAAGTGGTTCGGCTATAATTTTTTGCCCACTGTATGTATTTTTGAAGATCTTTCATTGGACATGCACATTGTACATAAAAGAAGTACATAACAAAATTAAAAAAAAATAGATGCCTTTTTTCAAAGCTCAGTTTGCCTCTTTTTAAGTTTTTAGTGCCTTTACATTTCTACATTTCAATGAAATCTTTATTTCGAAGATTTAAACTTTGCCTTTCCCCGTCTCCACTGGCGTTATATTTTTAACGCAAGTACATATTTCCAAACTCGATTAAGAAGTTTCACATCAATTATTTGAGTTTCACTCTTATATATAGTTAAAAAATAAAATAATCATAACCATTTGGATTGATATTTATATGTTATAACCCATATAACTTTTTAAATAATTTTAATATTTTGAATTTAATTTCTATTATATGGCAAGCCTTTTTTGAAAAATAAAACCGTATTGCACTTCTACATACCAATCTCTTCAATTCTCGGTGCAAAATTGGTGACGGTGGGTTAAATATTTTACATAAACATCTCCGAACTCGATTATTTGCATTTGATTTTCTAACATCTGGCAACGCTTTTCAAAGAACCAAAACCACGTATATATATATATATATATATATATAAATAAATAAATTTAACGCTTTAAGGGCCGTTAACGTATCTGTGTTAAGCTATAGTTTATTTCTTTATTTCATTTCCATAGAATTACTTGAAAATAGATAAGTTAACGGTCCTAAATCTCCTAACTCGATAAAGAAGTTTTAATTCAATAAAAGTCCCATATGATTATTATGAGAAGACGTAAATAATGTTCGTCTTGATATAAACGTCCCGAGAGACGAAAAAAAAGCCCATATAATTATTGTAAGAAGACGTAAATAATATTCGTCTTGAAATAAACGTCCCGAGAGACGAAAAAAATAAAAAAGCCCATATAATTATGAGAAGACGTAAATAATATTCGTCTTGAAATAAACGTCCCGAGAGACGAAAAAAATAAAGGCCCGTATAATTATTATAAGAAGACGTAAATAATATTCGTCTTTAAATAAACGTTCCGAGAGATGAAAAAAAATAAA